CAGCAAGGAGCCCAGACCTCAGCCTCTGTGCTCTGATCAAGCAGTGTCTCTGGCTCGCATCTGGCAGAGTGGGAAGAACACAGCGGTACAAACGTTTGATTATCCTTCTTAAAATGATCAGTTCAAACTCCAACCTTGTTCCACACAGACAGATTCAGGGGCACATCCTCCCATTACCAGGAGCAAAGGAAACAGAGCTTTGAATATGACCAAAAATAAACTGTCTGTTAGAGTGGGAGATCATTATGTCTTTTTCAAAAAAAACACAAGACATTAGGGACTTTGTTTCACTCCATTTGATGTCTGGTATTTGATGTCAACACTTCAGAAACAGCAAAAAAAAAAAAAAAAGTTGTTTGGGTTTGGGTTTTTTTTCCTCCTTTATATAATTCACTATTTTTCTTGCAGCAAGTGGCATTATAAGGGTTTCAACAAGCACAGGTTAACAAAGTATGTGTCTGTTGCCACAAATACTTTGCAAAAATGGGAAGGGTGGAGTGCTTTGTGCTTGGATGGAGCTGTAGGTATTTCGAGAAAAAAGACCCAGACATCTCTGTACCAAAGACTGTTTCAAACAGCTTGTGTGTTTCATGTGCATTGTCCAATCCTTTAAATGTCAAAAGTCTCACACTGTTTTGTTAAAAAAGGAAAACATGCCATGCACTACTAATTGAGTGAATCAATATACAGAGAAGGCCATGAAGGGAATGAAATGTTTTTGACACATGCAAGCAGTTGTTTTCAATGTGTATAAGAGGAAAAAAGCCCTGCTTGCCCTTTATCCCTTAATTAAGACCACCTCAGGAACACAGGGTGAAACACCTTTCCCCTGCACCTTCCTCACTGCTCTGCTCTTAACTCCCTGCTGTTTGGCCATTAGTAGCAGTCAGAAGTCCATGAACACAAAACCCGTCACTGCAGTCTCTAAGAAGGGATCCAAATACCAGATGGGTTCCCACCAAGCTCCAGAGACAGCCTCAGAAATTCATGAAGGGAAGTATGTGATGGATTGTTGCCCTAACAGAGGCTTGTTATAAAGTGTATTTATAGAGTTCAGTCACATGAGCTATCTGAAGTCTTTGGTAATTTTTTCATGTACAAACGTCTACATTTTCTGTGAGATTTTACGGACTTCTTTGTCTCCAGAGAGGCCTTCCAAGGATATTCTTACAGGACTTTTGCAGCCAAAAGACTAACAAAGGCAGCAATTTGGGCAGAAATCTTTCTCCAGAACCTTCCTCTGCGCTGATGAGCACCCATGAAACAGCTTAAGACAGCTTGCTTTGAAAATACTGTAAGGAGCTGCATGGAAGCCTGGCCTTTGAAGCCACTGAAACTTGCTCTTTCCCAGAGCTTTTCTTGTAATGCAAATCTCTGCAATGAGATTTGCTGCAATGCAAAGATGAGCAACCTCCTCCTTCTGGCAGCTGGAGCTTTGGGGTCTGTCTAGCAGTGCTTGGTGCAGTGCTTTTCCGTCCTGTTTGTGTCTCCCTGGAGGTCAAGGCCATGAAGGGCCATCCCTGTGAACTGCTGTGTCAGCAAACAGCAGAGTGCATGTGTGATGCATTATGCCATCTGCAACTAGTTTCTAGTCCCCAGTAGAACCATTTGCAGAGATTCATATGCCCTAAGCATGGCACTGGCTTAGAATAATACCCTGGAGGTCTCAGCCTGCTTTCTTCGTGCAGTCTAATTCTTAAAGGCAGTCTAGTGTGGACTGACAAGAAGTCATTTCAGTCTTCCAAGAGCTTTCATCCTCACCTGTGATCTTTTGTTCACTGCCAGCTCTGAGATCCTCCAGCTAGGATGAAAAGGGAAAGTAGTGTTAAGACAATTTATTGCAACCATAGGCTGAGCTCAATTAAGGCTTGCCTGACTACTCCTACAGCTAGACAGATAAGGGAAAGAGGAACAAAACAATATTATATGATTTTCTGCCAGTCAGAAAATGAGATTAAGAGACCTGAAGCCTGTGAAACGGTGTATGACCAAATCAACAAGACATTACAGAAACCAGGGGAGCTAGCTGTGCCACAAAGCTGGAGTGAGATTAGGCCAAGGTGAAACCATCTCTTCCACCCAATCTTTAAAATTTGGTGTCTATAGGAGGATGGATATTTAGAGCCCAATCCTGCTTGCACTTCCATTCAAAGTGCCTGTGGCTGCCAGACATTCTTTAATCAGGGATATAATTCTCTTGTAATTATTTTCACCCTATCCAAGTCAAACTTCGAAGTGCTTCCTTTTAAGGACAGAATTAAGGCATTACTCAATACACACAGGTAACTCCAAAACTTCAACATCCTCCTCTCTTTACTGCTTAGAAGATCTTATTGCTTGCTAAAATTCAGATGGAGTCTGACTCTTTAGCTGAAGGCAACAAAGTTTGTTATTGTCCTGAAGAAAATTTGATCCCAAAGAGAACAGAACTGACAGAGCTTGCTTTGTGGTCACTTTCTGTCCACCATTTTGAAGGAGGAAAGTAATTTTGTAGGAGAAAACAGTAGGTTTTGTTTCAAGAGAATTACACAGGAAGTAGTATAGAGTATTTACAGATGTCGCCAAGATCTGAGCTTCCATTTTCTATCCAAAGATCTGAGACACAAAGAATTATTTCAATTCTCAACATGCCAGGAGACTACAGAAGGAAAGCTTAAATGACTAGTCAAGCAACGCACAAAAAAGCAGTGGCAAAACCATTTACACTCATTCTCACTCCTGCATGACACCAAAGAAGAAACAATTCCTTTGACCTGATGGAGCTCAGGGTATCCATCAAGAACCTGGTTGTCCTGCCACTTCATTTATCCAATCATTTGGTGTCAAGATATCAGAGTGAAATCCTAAAAGACCCCTTACACGTTTCATTTTTTTTACTTCAGAGAACAATACAGTCCCAGCTTCTTTCTTAGCTCCCTAAATTTTCATGGCTATGAGTAACATCAGAAATCTCATACACTCCATGGTCTTATGAGGCTGGGGACGAGAATGCTGGCCTGAAAATCTTTCACATGAGTAAATCGAAGTGTGATTTTCTCGAACTGAACTTTTCTAAGCATGAAGTCTTCCCTCTCTCTACATATATATTTCAGAACTGTGCAAAGTTCTTCTCCATAAGACAAAACTCAAGAAATGAAACAACAGGTTTCCAGTTATACAGGTATAGTCAAAGTTACCAGGAAAACAACACTAGCAGACAAAAAAGATCAAACTTTGATCTGTGAGGAGTATGATGAGTTTACTCAGCTACTCTTTAAATATGTAAGCATTTTCATATCTGCCTGTGAAATTCAAAATTAGCATTTAATGTCTCTCTAAATTGGTCTAAAATTAAACATTAATAAATCATACAAATTTAAAATTAGGCACACTTCCACAGTGTAATGTGAGTAACACATATCATGTCTTCAGTAGAGGTCAGCTGATTAACACCTCAATGTAACACAGTCTAGCAACCAGTACCAAGCCTCTTGGTACTAACATTACCATAACACATGAATGAGCAAACAATCACCAAGAAGAAGATCCAAATACTCCAATACTTTCACATCCCAGGATACAGTATGAAATGAGATCGAATCAAATAATTACAGAAGATACAATTACCAGGACACCTTGTCTAATTTATTTTTATTCCCTCAGGAATGACCACTTTGATCTCAACCAATTCCAATAGATATTTAGGGGGTTTTTTAAGGTTGATACAAATCACGTCTTTCAAATTGGCTAGAAGGAGGTCTGCTTCCAAGGCTTTTGGAAGTGAAAAGTTAAATCAGAGTCCTTTAAAGAACTGTTCCTCTTGAAACATTTTATACTTTCACTGAAGACTGGCATCTTAAAATAAGAGTTTTCTTCACAGCTAAGAGTCAGAATTTAGTGCATTCAGTTCATGGCCTTGAGCAAGTCCCTTATTCCACCCTTTTCCTTTAATAGAATAATTTCAGTCATTTATAAAGACTCAGAAGTTTAATCAATATTGCAAACTTCACACAAAGGAGTGAATAATTCCTCTATTCCTAACAAACATTTCTCCTTGATTTTTTCAGTGAGGTTCATTAGAAACTTTGCTCATCCCATCCCTAACTTCCCCATATAAAAGAGACATTTGGTACTGAACAAAAGACTAAGAAGAATAACAGCAAAGTAACAGACAGCCAGTTCTCACTGCAGTGATGTGGATACCAAGAGGACAATGCCATTTTGTGCCATCCAAGAAGATAATCCTTAATTTGTAAAATTATTCAGTGTACTACAGTCTTATTTCTATTCACTTACTCTTTAGGAGCCAGGTGGTTTTTCCATACTGAATGCTACCATGGGGGAAAATTAAATGAGCTACTTATGGGTAAGACCAACTATTCTCCATCCTAACTGGGCACAGTTCAAAGAGTTGCAAATGGCTTCACAAAGTTTTCTCCTATAACTTCCTCTCATCCCAGTGAATTAAATTCTTGGATTTTCCCTCTTCCTTTTATTTCACTTGATAGTGGAAATAAGAAGTAGAAGGAGCTCAGGCTAAAATTTTAAGGAGGTGTCTCTTATCAAACACTGCTGTGCAGTGTCTCTGAAGGTCTCTGGAATTTAGGAGATGGCTCTCATGGAAATGACTATGAACAATGTTGTGTTTAACATATTGAAGTGTCCCAGAAAGTCTACTGAGAGGAAAATTAATTTCCTTTCCCTTTCTTTTGTACATTTTAAGAATTGTCACAGACTATATAGTGATTGTACCCAGTTGGTACATATTAATCAAATCGGACCTCAAGCTAAGAAGTGTTGAAAGTAAAGTGAGGCAGGAATGTTTGAGTCAGGACCTGCATTTCACAAGAAATAGTAAATTCAAACTTCTTTAATTCTGAGAATAAACTTACCCCAACTAGTCTGGGTTTTCTGGTCATTATCTAGACATGGATGCACGTGCAACCCCATACTTCTCATAATCTCTCAGTAGGGGAGCGTGTGGGGAATCTGCACTGAGGTCTCTTTTGTTTTCATTTCAGACCTGGACCACTTTCATCTTTGCTGCTGGAAAATACTTCAACTACTGTCCCGTGGAATCAGCACAGGGATTGCCTAGTTCTTCATACAAATAAAAGAGTCTGACAGTTAGAGACATGGAAATGTTCATACGTGGGGGACACTGAAGCCAAGATCATTGTGACTGCTGAAGCTTTGACCTAAAGCCTCACAGGCTCTGGTCACACACACTGCAATGATTTGCAGGCTGTAGCTTTCCTTGCCTGCCTATTCCACACACCTTCTTCCACCAGGTTCCACTGGTCATTCTGTCACCAATATGTCCAGAAAGTTCTCAAAGTGAATTTTCTAGAAGTGTAGTGAGATGAAGAAACTACCTAATCAGCTTCAACCACAAACTATCCACAGCCTCAATCATAGCAGCTTCTATCAACACTGGGGATTCTGAAGGTAATTTAATGGCTTCTAAACCAGCTATTCAGTAGAAAAAATGAACTGCACTAGAGACACAGTTCTTTGATTGAGAGCCAGAAGTCAAGCTCATTAATCCTGATAACTAAAACAGCAGTGCACTGATCGAAAGAAGCAGGGTGTAAGCCTTCTTGTCCCAAACAGTTTTTAACTCTCTGAACCACAGCTCTCTCCTTTTTTTTTTTTGATTTTGACTTGCTATTTTCACACCCTTAACTCCCAGAGTTAAGTCTGTGAGGTGGAGTCACTTGATGTTTAGCTGCTGCCATATTCACCACTATCAGATTTACATTAGCTCATGTTGGGTGTATTTCAGGGGAGGGGGAAAGGAAAAAAAAATTGAAAACACAACTGATTCTCAAAAAGATTTTGTAGGGAAAAAATGTATTTTGGTGGGAACAGTTTTAAGGAAACCAGAGAGACAGGAAAATAAAACTAACTTAATTTTAAAACAACTGCTGAAGTAATCCTTCAGTATTTTCAAAATCTGTGAATTTTCCTGAATCCTAGCACTTCTCAGGTTGCATTTTAATGTTTGAGTTTTTGCTGGCTATAGCTACTATGTCCATCTGCAAAATGCTGTGGGATTATTTGAGAGGAAAAGCTTATGCATATGAAATAATTTTTCTGTACGTACTTATAAAAGAGGCAAATTCAAGTCACATCTAGGACGCAAATACTATTTCTTCTAGAGCACATATTAATCTAATGTTTAAAAATATCTTTGCTGTTCTATCACCATGGATTCCTTTCTATGTGTTCAAACTTTAGAAATACATATGTACTTTACTTGAAATGTTATATTTAGACTTAAGCTTCGGAGTTCAAAAAAGCTGCTTTAGCAAGAAATGCGTAAACTGATTTGGAAACTATAAGCATCACTACCCACCCTTGTTGGCTGCCCTGGTGTATGGAATTAAATATTTTCTCAAAAAAAAAAATCAAAAACAAAACCACCACATATAAAGTCACCCATTAAAGGAAAGAGAAAGAGGCTTCAGCAAAACCTACGTTCTCTTTTCTTTGTTAACAATGGAGTGCCCTTTCCAAACTGATTTCAGCAGCAGGAGACATCTAAAGGCTGAGTAACATACTGCAAGAAAACTTGTAATTCCATTCAACAGCCCGTCTCCTGAACACAAAGTGATAAGTCTGCTTCAGATTGTTAGGCACAGAGTTAGATTACTAAACATGGTGAGGTTTGGAAGTACTTGGGGCCATCAATACACCTTTCTATCTATACCCTTTGATTTGAAAATTCCCAATTTGGGGAGTTAGTTGGAGGAAGTATGATTTTAGTTCCTAAGCTTGATTCTACTTGTTTCATTCCAACCTTTGTCAAATCTAGAAAGACTGGCATGTCTAGAGGGAAACTATTTTTAGGGATTCAGTAATCATGAAGATAGGAGAAGCTCATAGAGGCATCTGATTGATGACATTTCTGATGTACTGTAAACATTCATGGAAACTCTTATACCACAGAAAGGGTGAGACTATCTAGCAGAGTTTAGACTGCAATTAAAGGAGATTAAAATGAATTGCCCTTATTTTTTTTTTCCTCCAGCAGCCAGGAACAGTTACTGCAGCTCAGCTGATGTGCTGTACCTCAGCACAGTGACCTGAGTGGGGGCCCATACCTTGCCATCACATCACAGAGGGTGTAAATCAGGATGATGGAGCAATCCTCACATCATCAGCATTGCACCAGCAGCTGAAAATCCAGCCTCCATCCTGCAGATCTGGACCCGAATCTCCAGTCCTACAAACATCCCCAGGCTGCTAACCTCCCTGGGCAGAGTGACTGCAGGGGACTTGAGCAGAAGCTTCTGCTTCAGATCCCTCAGACTGTGCAAACACAACCCACATGAAATAAGGATGGGTACGACCATCATCCATCTCCAAACTACATAAATATCACCAGTGGTTCATGAAACAGCAAATCCTGGAGCCAGACATCCTGGGAAGTGCTGTCTCTCAGTTCTAATAGTTGTCACGATATTTGACCAAATAACTTTTTACTAAAGTAAGTAAAGCACATAGTGCTCTGTGCTGCAGGCAGAGAGGGAAGGTGAATAGCATCCCTCTGCTCCTCTGGCTTTTGCTGCTGGCTAATTATTCATTTGCAGTTTATCAGCTAATTACAGCTATGTGCCTCGGCATTTGAAGACTTAGGGGCATACTTTATTTAACAGTTAGTAATTACCCAGACCTCCTCTGCTCCCTGTGCAGAAGGTGTTTCTGTTTCTGTCCTTGTGCTGTCGGCTCTAGAGGTTAAAGACCCCCAGACAGATGGTTACACTGTTGCACATAGAAGGCAGGCTTATACTTCATGTGATGATAGAGGTTTCCCAAATAATTATCTGTTAATGCAACAAATCATGTCCTTCAGAGCTCAGTGCTGATCTCTGTCTGTTCCCAGTATCTGTGACAGCAGCTTTTGTTTCCATGTCCAGGTTAAAGATCACAAAGGGTGCACAAGGTCATATGAAGACCAATTCACTATTAATTTTTCCCTGGGAACAGTCCGACATACAAGCCTTGCACTTCATCTCAACACCTACACAATCCACTGCTGCAGACTCACAGTCTGCCTTGGCATGCAGCACCACCAGGATGTCCCTGTGAGACAGGGCACGAGCCTCAAAATACATGGAAGACACACACAGATATGGCAGGATGCAAAGAACTCTTTGTAGCTTGGCACAGATGGTTGAATAGCACAGCTGGAGGGAATGAGACTTCAGGCAGGAGCGCTGCCAGAGATGGGATATATTGAGAGCAGCTACAGTTGTGGAGAACAGGTTTTGAATTTGTTGCCATCAGTGTTCGCAAAGGAAACCTCGGCCTTAGGATTATGCTCAGATAATTGAGTAAGAGACTTAACTCTGGCTCATTTCATTGTGGGAAGAGATGAGGTGGATTATCAAGTAGCATGGAAGCAGCAATCATAAATTAGGGTTCTTTAAACTGCAAAATAGACATCATTGTCCTGGAAGTTTTTCGAGCCCTGTCACTAATTTCTCCAACCTAAGGCCACTTTATTTCTGAATGAGGTCATTCACATGAGCTTTGCTCATTTATTTATTAATTTATTCGATTAGTTGAAAACCTGTACCTTGCATGACTTTACTTCTGTAGAAAAAATATGGCACAGCTATTTATTACTAAGGAACTTTAAAGTTTCCAGCCTCCAGACACTAGAAAAAGGTATTTACATATGTCTTTAACAAGAGGTAACTTCAGAGATTGTGATATTCAGAACAAACACTTGCATCTCTAACGCCTCTTCAGAGTTAGGCTACTGAACACCTCTGATTTTGGCAATGGATTAACTCTAGAGCAAAGTAGAACTTGAACCTACCACTCCTATCCCAGCTGGTAGTCAAACCATTCACCCATCTGTGATCTGAACTAGCTGAATCAATCAACCTACATGAAAGGCAAATGATCTGTTAAGCTTCTTGTAATGAAGTCATTTCTTTCTCACTTTAGGCAAACAACCTCTTGGAAACCATCCTAAGTCAGCAAGACTACAGCAGCATCTAATGTAATGAGTCAATACTTACAGTTTTGGAATTAAAAAAAAAAAAAAAGCTTTCAAAAGTAATGTGATCAAGCTAATAGGTCCCGTGATGGTGGATAGCACTTATGGATATATCAAATACTGCAAAAGGTTTAAGGTCCAATAAAAATTATTGTTCTGCATCTATGTTATTTCTCCATTTAACTGTGCATCAGCTCTACTTAAAATGCTTGTCTCCTTTCATATCCACGTTTCTCTGTTCCTGCTACTAAATCAGTGGCATCCATGTTACCTGAGACCAGCCAAGATTGCAAATACACCTTCTATAGGAAAGGGAGTGACTATTTTCACAGAAAGCCAAGATAGGTCAGAGTGCAGACACTGTGAGGGAGAGACAAATGAGAATTGATGCGGTCTCTTGATTGCCAGAGTTAACTGCCAGGGTAACTCTGCTCTGGAGAACTGAGTAGAAGCACAGAATCATTTAGATTGGAAAAGACCTGTAAGATCAAGTCCAACTGTAAAACTAACACTGCTAGCTCTACCACCAAACCACATCCCTAAGGCCCACATTTGCATGACTTCTAAATACCTCCAAGGCTGGTGAATCAGCCACTTCCCTGGGCAGCCTGTTCTAGTGCTTCATAACTCTTTCAGCAAAGAAATTTTTCCTAATGTCCTAATATCCAATCTAAGCTTCACCTTGCACAACATAAGGCCACTTCTTCCCATCCTGTCACTTGTGAATATCAGAGAAGTCCCAAATGACATAGTAAATACATCCTTTGATACAGCATGTTAAGGAAGGCAGCATTTAAAGCAAAGCTGTAATTGGCCAACTTTGGGTTACCAGCTTTTGTATTGGATCCCAAGAACGAGTAGAGACGTTTCACAGCAGCTCAAAGCTCACTGTGAAGGAAAAAAGTAATTTCTGGTCTAGATTATAAAGGTTTCTATTCTGATTTTACTTACTTGGTTTCTAAGATTATTTCATATGATATTCATACTCCAAATGATACTATCAGAAAGAAGGAGACATCGAAAAAAATATACAGAAAGCTACAAGTGCACATGTTTAAGAGAATATCCACACAGAAAAAGAGGAGCGCTGCACTTTATGGTAGCACTGCTTGCTTGAAGCTCAGAAACACAAGAAATGCCAGGCCCTATTCGAGATCTCTTGCCCTACGAAAAGTGGGGAGAAGAGGATTATCCAAAGAGAAGCAAGTGGGTGAATCTTTTCTGGGTAAATAGCAGAAATATCACCTTTTCTGGAGGTTTTTGCTTACTCAAAACAGCACAGTATGAGGCAGTTCTTTATGATGGTGATGAGTCTCTGTTTTAAAAGGTGAAGAAAATTGTAGTAAGTAGGTGGGAATTTAGATTTGATTCCAATAAGGAGAAATTGTTAAGGACTGAAAAGTAGAAGGCAATGCAGGTGGAAGTGATCATAAGACAGCAGAGGAAGGGAAAGAGACCAGGAGAATGAGGACAGTGGACTTAAAAAAAAAAAAAGAAAAAAAAAAGAAAAAAAAAGCTGCAGACTTAAACACGTTTAGAACTGTGAGGGATGGTCTCTTGGGAAGATAATCTAAGGTAGAGAGGAATGCAGGAGATGTGGTAGTGCTGAAAGGGACTGTATCAAAAGCACAATAGCAGCCTATCCTGCTACAGAGCAAAGATAGTGAACATAGCTTGAAACCAATATGGTTACATTAGAAGCACTTTAAAGACTGAACAATCAAAAAGCAACTGTAAAGAAAGTGGGAACAAGGACGGGCAACTCAAAGTATAAAGGAATGTCGTAAGCACGCAGGGATAAATCAGAAAGGCTAAGGCACAAGTTGAATTACAGCTAACAAGGACATAAAGGCAACAAAGAAAGCTCTATAAATACATTAAAAGTAAGAGGAGAGGAAAGAAAAGCATAAGCCCATCAGTTAATGGAGATGAACAAATCCGATGATGCTGAGAATGCAATATTATTTCTGCCACAGCCTCCAGAAAAACAGGCTAGTTGTGACCCAACACTTAACACAATTCTAGTAAGGAGATGAGATTGCTGGCCAGAATGGGGAACAAGTTGCAAACTACCTAAACAAGTTAGGGCTTGCTAGCCCAGGGATATTAAAATGTATTAAATTCAGGTGTGAATTTACCCCTGTGACTCTGCACCAGCCAGCACCTGCTTTAAAAGTGATGCACATCTCTATCCACAGAATAAGTGAGCAGGGATGCTGTGCTGTTCCAGAAACTGGTTGGTGTCTGACCTTGGTAGGGAGGTGGGGATGACAACACACCCAGACATTTCTAGGTATAAGGAAGAGTATATGCTGACAAAGGCAAATTTCAGCATTCTTAAGAGACTTCTTTTGGCCAATTCCTTTAATGTGTTCATCTGGGAACTGTGCAAAGGACCAGGGTCAGGGCCCCACAGCTACCAGCTCAGTACAAACACATAATGCCAGCTTTGGTCTGCCATCTCCCATGGAAGCTGGCTGTGCAAACAAAATACAAGCAAGAATTTCTACAGTCAGAAACACAACCCCTTGATGTTATGGGATGTGTTAACCAGCATTTTCTGCTGTTAAGGTAAGGTACAGATGATCTCTTTGGCCCCAAGATCTTGTAATCCCTCTCCTGGCTGGCCAGGATGTGTCCCTGCCTATTGTCCTCCACAGGGCACAGACCAGATGAAGTGTGTGCTCTCAGGAGTTTTAACTGTCCTCTATTAATAACACAGGTTCTTCTTTCTACAACACAAAGTGACTCTACAGCATTTTCTGGTAAGGGAAATTATAGCTTGGCATCTGTTCTTTTCACTGCCAGAACCAGATTGCTCATCTTATTATATCTTACAAAATTGCTGAAGACCTGCAAGGAGAAAATGGATTTTCAATATGGCCTTTTTTTGTTTTAATAGGCACACTTAAGATCATGAAATGTGCCATGCCAGTTCCAAACACACCATAGCACTTTTGCAGGGACAGACATCATAAGGACATTAGGAAATAAAACCAAGGAGCTTCAAAACATAACATCCCAACAGTGACTGATACCAAGAAGATCTGCTTGATTAAGAAGCTCTGCACAGTCCTGTCCCATTTCAGCTCAGCTGGGAACAATTCTAACAACTCTGGGTGTTGAGTGAGCACAGCAGAGATCCTCATGACACAAAGAGAAGATGGCATTTTGTAACTCTTCCCTTCTCCTGCAATCTCTCCATTTACAGGTGGAATAACTCCCAAAGCTGCTGTTTCTAACTGAGAAATTAAAGAACAACCTTCATACTTTCAAGAATATGACACAATGGCACAGGTTCAATAGAGGAAGCATCCTGGCTGCTAAGATTGATATTCCTATTCACTATCACCCACGTTAAGGGATGGAAGCACCACAAAGCCAGGAAGAGCAGTATATCTGCATTTAACTGTGCTCTCTGCTAAACAGAGGTCACATTAAATCAATAGAGAAGATAATTTCTGACTTTAATCCTGCTGCCACACCTTGCCAGCAAGATAAAGGTGACAATCACCTTCTGGGTTATACATGGCTCTCCTAAACCTCACACATGAATCAACAAATAGAAATACAATCATAAGAGGTAAGGAGCTGTGGAAAATGGCATACCCTTGAAGGTAACATGCCCTCTACAAAAACTCCACAGAACAACTGAACATCTCCATTCCAAGAAGTCATTTGAATTTTTTTATAGGGCAGTCTAGCTGCCCTATAATGTGTTGGCCAAATAGCAGCCAGAGAACAGGTAATATTAATAAACAGCCATTATCCATATGGTACTCATACCATTTGCTTGTATCTCATGTACTATTGCCCCTGGACCACAAACCTACACAGCTTGAAGACTCAGCCTATAGCTTGCCATGCCCCTGGAGCATTTCCAAGAGGTAGTACCAGCACATGGACCCAGGAGCAGTCAACAAGTTCAGAACAGAGTCCAGCTCCAGCATACAGTGACCAGCCTTTGGCTGCTGCTGACAACACCAAAACACAAAAGCCAGGAGAAGGAAAATGATCTGACTTGCAAGTCAAGCTTACAGTTCTGATTAAGTCTCTTTATATGTCCTCTTTCCCCATTCAATTGGGCCTTGGCAGAATCCAGAAGGGAGAGCCACAAACCTTTTATAAGCTTCTAAAAGAAAGCATTAACTCCAAAGTTTGCAACATTCACATTATTGAGGAACTGATTACAATAAACTGGCCTAGAGAGACCATTTCTGTCACCTCCCCAGATTCTTGGTTAAGCAGGTACAGTCAGCTCAGTGACACCCATTATTAATAACGCTGCATCTTAGTTGTTGGTCAGCAGCTGAGCACAGAAAGTTTTCCTCCCTGTTGTCAAGCATCGCAGCAGCAGCACACGGGATGCTTCCACCTCTAAAGATGGGGGAGGATGAGCTAGAACCACTTCAGTGAAGCAGATGTGTCAGGGTGAGAAGCGCTGTACCCTGTGGAGATGCAGTGTCTATTCAACAGGTGCATTGTGCAACTCAGCAGGTTGATGTAACCGCTCTGGTTTCACACATAAATCATGCATTAGCCTTTTCATTCTCTGTCCACAGGGCACACAAAACTAATCAACATGGTGCAGAATTTGCTATTCTAAGAGTAGTCATTAAGTGGAAGTGGCCAAAGGAAACAGCACAGTGGATATTTCCCCTCCAATTGCCAATGATTATATGCTGAAAGCCTTTCTACTTTTTTCCAGTTTTAGCAGCTGTAGAAATGACTGCACATGGGCTCTGAATAACCTGGTGTTCAGGACCTTTCCAAATTTAACGATTCTTTTCATTCCTCACAAGGACCTCTTTCCTCAATTTCCCTTCCAGCTGCTTGGAGATAACAAAGACTGGGATTGCCAGGACTATATACCATTCCTCTCCAAGTGAATCTAGTCCTGATTTTTTTCCCCAGAAGACACTTATTTTTCTAATCTTCCTTCACCAGTTTCACCTCCCTCCATTACCAGTCTTCACTGTCTAAAAAGCCCACAATTGCTTCTCTCAAAGTACTCCAAGATCTGAACTACTCTTCACATGTGCAACCACATCCTTCTCACACATGCAGAAATCCTGCATTGCACTGAACAAGCTAAGGATGCAGTCTGCAGGAATCTCCTTTCAGCATAAAGTTTGTGCTCTAAGTGCCAATGAACTTCAGA